GCGCTGATGCGTCACTGTGTTGTCACAGAAATAAAAATAAAATCTTGGAAACATCTTCGAAAGTTATCCTTTCGCAGATTTGTGCATGCATAAGCGACCTATTATATTATATCACGGCATCGTAAAAGGGATAGCAATATAACACAATCATAAGGAAAATAAAAATTTTTGTCCGCCAATGTAACAAGCTAAGAAGGAAGACTCTCAAATCTTTCGACGTATTTGGCACGCTTCTCTTCTACTAATAGCTTATCAATGTATATGTCTGTATCAGAACTGACGTCAATCAATCGTAAGCCCAACATGGTACCATTGACTGGCGAGAGATCGTCGGACACCGATTCGACGATTATAGAGACGAAATTCTTTTGAAGTAACTCCTTAAATTTGACACAATCGATATTAACGACATTCGCGCTGGTAACATATCTTTTTTAGAAAGAGAAACAAAATCGCATACAACAAATCAGACGAGGACTGACATAAGCAAGCGCGCTCGGCAGAAGACAATCTGCCAAGCTTGTCAATAAGATCGTTTAGTAATCGCGAATCACATAGATTTGGAAAGATCCACCGTCAAAATTCACTCGGTGTAATTTATATCGGAAGATGTGCACGTTTTCACCGTATTCGAGGAACGCGATGCTGCGGCGACAATACGATCCAGTCGATGTCGTGCGGGGGTTGCTTAACCCCAAACCCCACAGGAATTTATCTGCCGGTCAGTACCACCCTAAATGTCAACGTAATCAGGCACCGACCATCATAAATATAACATGCGTGTCGTAAAACATCGTGCACTCAATCCTGTGGACGATAATGACATTTATAAATGCAGAGTTTCTGTTTACGCAGCATCTGTCATGCATACCGACGAGAAAACCGTTGGCGGACGAGATGGATTTCTCACTTGGCTGAAGGACATCTTTAATAAATCTGCAGGTGAGCCGCACGCTGATGTCATTTTTGGGACAGAGGTTATTTTAGCCATTCACTATTACGTAATGTATGTTATATAATATGCAAAAATTAATCGTACAATTCATAATTACACGCGTGCTTCTCACCAACTATTAATTTGTTAAGACAATGATTGATTTGTCACAAACATGATGTAATTTATCAGAAAATGTTCTGCACATTTGAAGACAATTCAATGATATTTTGCAATATTTACATCATGATAAATTTGAACATGTAATTTTCAATACAAATGTAATAGTGCATATGCAAAATTAAGATTGTAATCAGAATATCAAAATTATAAATAGAATATTAAAAGACACATTTGCTTTTGAGAAATTGCAAAGACCCTAAATTTTATCACGCAGCATGAGATGATGTAAGTCATGGATGAGATATCATGTTGCAGAGGATAAAAGCAAAAGCCGCAAGGCTGACACTGTGATCGTCGATCGTGCAGCAACGGCAACAACATTCAATCGGCCAGAAATAGCGACTTCCATGCGGCCGGCAGACCCCTCGGACAAGGTCGACGTCATTAATCAAAAACTAGCCAACTTCTACGCGGTGCGATCGACGACGAAGTTCGAGTATGGGAACATCCGCGGTGAGAAGCGTGACGCGGAGAGCGGCGAACGTGCGTACGCGACTCAACAATCGGCGATCTACGCTACGTCGCAGCCGAGTCGTTTTGCGGCTGGAAAAACTTCCGAACGCGAGATGGACCCCGGCAAGGTGTATCGATCCGAGAAGAACGGCGGCGCGATCGAGTTTGCGGCGAGAGTCGATCTCGACGTGGCCTCGCATTATCGTTGTTACACGAGCCCGAGACACTGTTATCGCCTGCCACCGCAGCGGACAAAACAGCCGCTGCTGGGATTGTGCGTCCCGAATAGATACATCAGCATGCCGACGCGCGCGATCGTGGGTTTCGCTCCTAGGGACTCAAAGCCGCCCATCAAGGAGCCTGACGCGCCCGAAAAGCGCGAGAAGAAGGACGAGAAGAAGAATAGAAAGGATAAGAAGAAGCCGGTAATACATGCGGACGGCGAATCGGTATCCGTCGATAGTAGCGAGAACCGAGCGGAGATGGTGGCGAACGATAACCCGAGGAGTGACCCCGACGCGGCGTTTCGTTACGAATGGGGCGTGAAGCTCGCTGAGGAACAGCCGGCCGTCGAAGCGGCAAACGATAACGATAAGTTGGCCGAAAAGGGCCAGCGATACGTCACGAAGCGGCTTTGGGGAGTGAACCTGAAACAACCGGAGCCGGATACCGCTCCGCCGGCGACCGCGAATTCTGGGCGAGGCGCGGAGAAGCCTCAAAACGCATCTTCGACCCTTGAGAGTGGCGATACCACCGACGGGGCAAAGGGCGGCGCTGGGACAGCGCCGAACGATTCGCCGAACAAGTCTGACGTATCGAGCTTGAAAGGTACAACCGCGGAGTATCTCTCGACTCCGTCGAGTCAGACCGGCCCGAGTGACAATCTTGTCGCGACGCAACAGGATAGCCACGACGCAAGCTCATATATGAGTTCCGAAGAGCTTCGAAAAATCATGAGAACATCCCCGAACATGCTGAAAGAGACGATAGTCGTCGACAATGAGTTCAACATTCCGGAAGAGGCGGGCTTGGACACCGAGATCACTGCCTGGCGAAATCTCGTGACGAGATCAGTTCCGGAGGTCAAAGAGAATTATTCGTCGGCCGACACGGAGAACCTGGAAATGGTGTCTATCCGTCCGGAAGCACCGCAGCCGAAACTGGATGTGCGAGTTGTAAGATCCACCGAGGACAACTTGAAGAACAAAGAGATTGAGCAATTGGACTCCAGATATACGTCGCCGAAGACAACGGAGATTAAGCGTGTCGGATCTTTGCGAAGACCGGACTTGTATTCCAACAGCAAGAAACTGCACACTATGAGCGCGCAAATTCGTTATATTCATCGGCGTACGAATAGCATTCAACATAGTGAATCACTTTCAAGTAACTTTGCTTCTGTCGATAGAACTAAGATGAAATGTCCAGGATTTGTGTCAGCCTTTTCTACGAATTCTGAAGGTTCTATGCCGAAGAAAGTGATCGATGGGGCATCGAGTCAGCAGAGTAAACAACAGAGAGACTCGAAAAACCAAAACGAGGGAAACGACCCTAATTCGAATAATATATTAAGCAGCAATCCATCTCCCATGCTTGTAAAATCTCGAACATCGTCAAGCAGCGACCAGCAAGAAACGGATACTGATTTCGCAAAGGTCCTAGATGTTATCGCAGACAAAGAAATGGAGATTTCCATAAACCAGCTGCAAAGTACTGGTCGTAAGAAGACCGCTCGTCTCTCGGATTCTGTCGTGTCTTCTGAATTTACGCAAAAGGATAAATCTCGCTCTAAAGACGAAATTGCACAAGACGAAATAAAACATTACATCGACTCACACGACGAAGACGCTACGTACGTCGATTTCAACAATCCATCAACTGACAGTGATTCGATTAAATCAGACGCAATCAAATCGGCTAAGGGAGATTCGGGACCTACAGATAACAGCGCTACCCTCGACTCGAACGTGAAAAACGTAGGCGACGATCCGAGCAAGGAATACATCATCGATGGCGATTACATACGATTACCCGGCGATCCTTATCCCTACAGTAAGGAAAACCTGGACAAGTGGCGCGTGCCGCGTTCCAAGAATCTCATCTACAAATCGTGGAAGCAGCCGGAAACGTCATGCTCCTCCGATTCTCCCACAGTCGCGCGGTCAACCCTGAGGAACGCTAATGATGCGTACGCAAACGCCGCCGGGGAGCCGCGCGATTCTCACGCCGGTAATGCGGTAATGGAGACTTCAGGAAGCGGCGGCGATAGCGGCGCGAACGCAAGAAAGAGGACGGGACAGGTGAGCGGATTCCACGTGTCCTCACGGGATCAGCGGGTGGTGTCTGATTACCTGCGTGGCGACGCCGCGGACGCGCTGGGACTGCGGCAATGGACGGAAGTCTTTTCGCGGCTCGACGTCGGCGAGAAGATAAACGAGGCGGCACGAAGCGGCGACAACGCGCCGTTCCGCGCGCGTTATGAGTAGTTTGCGACGGAATATAAGTTCCGGTGCGCGTGCACCTTCGCATAATTCAGTTCTCCCGATTAATTAGGGCGGCATCGTTGCCGCGACGTAACGAGCCAGGGTTCCGCGAGCTTCAATGTCAGACTGTGCACCCCATTTCCGTTTGCTTTCGATGCTTAAGAGCAACAATGAATACGATGAACACGAAATATGAATAATTTTTTTTCCCAATAATTTACACTGCAATTCTTTCGTCTCTTTCATATCCTTTCTTGATATTTTTAAGAAAATATGAAATTTGTTGTCGATGCATGTATGTAAATGAGAAACAACGTGTAGATATAAAACGTTGAAGAAAATACACGTGTTGCAAAAATTGCAAAATTACAAATCGAGCTTATATAAATCCACTAATAATGAATCAGACTCGCGGGGATGATTTGTTATAAAACACAACGAAGTAAAAAAATATACGGTGTAGTCTAATTGCATTTTTTATAAAACTTATACGAGAATAAAAAAACATGTTAACAATTGTGTTAAAAATTTGAGATTATATTATAGTATAAAATATTTTTCCACAAGTAATAAACATGTTACTGATAAATTTTCTTAAAGTTGTCAGAGGTTGACAGAACAATTAGTAGTGAAATAAGCGATCTGATTACATTCTCGTGTAATATATTTAATAATGGAATGATTTCGCAGCTCAGTATCGGTCAAATTATTTGTGGACTTATTCGAATTCGGTGCGTAAATAATTTCCATTGGTTCATCGGGTACGATTTCCTTACGTGCGCGCCCTCCGCCTCCTGAAATTATTCTCCACTCCCATAAACACGTTCGCCTCCTCGCACTTACGATTAAAAGCGGATAGGGAATGAAGCGGGGCTGTATTCACAAAATTACCGTATACGGCGCGGTTAGCTCGCCTTAAGAGCTTTTTTGATCCTCGAGACGATCGGGCATTAATCCCCGGCCAACGCACCTGTCGAGAGGCAACAGCAGGAGGAAGGAGGAGGAGGAGGAGGAGGCTAAGGTTGGAGAATGGCTAGGTCGTTCAATCAGACACGTGTACTTACGTGTACACCGACATGCATCCCGCATGGACTCTTGGCGCTTCTGCCTCGGTCGAGCGGACGAACTATCGACCCGCCGCGCCGGGATATGCGTGCCTACCGGTCACGAACGCGGCCCGGAGGCTGTTATTTGACCACCGGCGTGATCTCCAAATCGTCGACCCCCCCTGTCTAATCATTCAAATCGCAGGCGTCCTGCCGGTCTAATCGGCGCTGCGTATGCATCGCATCCGGTATCCCTCGACGAGGGAGAGTGGACGAAGCGGACGCTTCTCTCCGAGTTGTGAGCAGGGGAGAGACTCGAATCCGGCTGCCACTTCGCAATGCCGCGATACCGGAGCACCGGCTACCATATTGCGCTACTACCATCGCCGATAATGCCCGGAGGTAATGGCAGACCCCGTGGCCCTGATTACCTTCGCGCTGGTGGAAGACACGCGGACGTAGTTTAGTCTCAGTTACAGCAGCTGGTCGTGCCGTGCCGTGCCGTGCCATGCCATGCCGTGCCACTTTCCTGACCGCTCACCCGCCGATCCTGCTGTCATTTGCTCCTGCGGACGTTCCGCGTGCTCTTCTGCGGACGTTGCTCGCGTCTAACGGAATACGAATAATGAGCGTTGAATGATGCCGCTCGAGTTAGAGGCCCGATGCGCGGCTCGGTGTCCCGCCTCCTTGTCGAGGTGATCAGAGGCCAGTTGTGTGCATTTTCTCAGAGATTGATTGGCCACGAGTCGATTTCCGGTAGATGATCAAATTTCACCTCGAGATAAGTCTGCGATCGATTGTACCAAATTACACTCTTAATTCTAAAAATCTAATGCAACCATTCAGCATCGTTTCTTCGGTGAACCTCGCAGCATTCAGTTGACTTCTTAGATCCTATTCCCCTTTACCGAGGAACGTAGTTTAATAGCAGACGACGTTCGTAGCTTTATTATTGGCAAATGACTCTCCGATGAGCGGGTTTTTCAGCCTCTCGGGTCAATCATCTCTGTGCACATCGCAACGATTAAACTCCCCGTTAGAAGGCGCAGCAACGCAGTACGATGACGAAGTCGAGACGGGATTGGCATTGGTAGCAGACGTTGCTTTTATTTACGACTAGATTCCGCCGACTACTCTCCGGGTTCGCTTCTCCTTGACCCTCTCCTCTCGTTCCCGAGGTTAGAACGATCCTATCTATGCGAGACGTAGCCGCGGATCATTCCCTTCGGGGTCTCCTGCACTATAAAAGATCGCCCTATGGTTGTATATTACTCACGCCACCGTGTTTTCACTTGGCGCGGCGATCGGCGCCGATATCATAACTCCTTGTCGTACCGCCGTTCAACCAGCAAATCTACCCGACGACGAGGCCTCCTCCTGGTAGCGATAGCAATTCCGATATAACCGGCAGCCGTTGTAAGACGAGGACGAACATCACCGGCACATAAAACGAAGCTCTCGTCGGCTAGCCTCGAGTCTATCGCACCCAAGTGACGAATTTTCTCGCAGGCCTGATACAGTGCTTTGGAACTTATTACATCGACTGGCTCATGTCATTGACTGATTAACGTTTTGTCGGTGATAACTTACTTTTTCAAGTTTTCTCCATAATACGGCAGAAAAGAAATAGAGGAAAGTCCTCTGTTGTGAGAAAATGGGTTTTCAACGTCCAAATTCAGTCACAAATCTTTTTTCGCAACGATTACACGATCCAACAATCAATTTTCCACTAAATAGATTTCGCTCCAAGGGCAATAAATTCATGGTGGAATCAACAGATGATGTCTATTAATTTAGTAGAAACTCCGCTATCTCATAATAGGGGACCTCCCTTTGTTAAAATACGCAGCATATACTTGGTTTGTCAATTATTAAAGTAAACATGGTTAGAAAGAAAAAGAAGACATTGAGGTAGGGTTAAATTATGTCGAGACTCCGTAAATGCACGTTGTTCACACGACGAATTCGATCTCTCGGAAAATTCGTGTTTAGCATTCTAATAATGGAACGCCTCGTAAATATGTCGCGACGCTTCCGGTAATGGAAGGTCACCCGGGAAGTGAGTGAAAATTCCACAATGTTAGCGCCGTTTCACGCCTAGAGCTATAATCCGGGACGCTGCGACCATCCGCGGCACCCGAGACTCCGAAATAGATGGTTTACAGCCTCCCTTAAATACGTCAACGTTTATGCGTGGATTCCCGAAAGTAAATCGACGAGGAATGTTTTCGTACGACGGCGGCCCCGTCACGAGCCGTAGCCAACTTAAACGCCGGGAAGCCAAGCAGTCCTCCCTCTATTCGTAGCGAAATCACTGGTTATTATTAATAACGCCGAAGAGCGCCTTTGTTTACGGTGTCACGGTCTTTTACACGTGTGCGGCTTTATGATACATCGATGCGGTTAATCTTGTTCGCTTTGGCTCGCAACAGCTAGGCGAACAATAATTATTATTCCGACATCGGCAAATCGACGCGATAAATACGAGTCGTCGAGGATCAGACATCTTTCCTTTCAGTGAGTTCTTTTTCTCAATAACGATGTAACAACAAAATAGACCGTTTTAGCCACAAAGGAATCACGTGCTTGCGGGGCTATCCGGCATTGCGGATGACAACTGTTCTCATAAGGTTTTAATCGTAGCCGTAGGACATGCCCTCAGGTGACGGACCGAGGACTGTGAGTAACGGGTGTCGCCCACTCGGGATCTCGCAGACATGAGACGACATGATTCCGCTCGAGTGGTCGCGCCTCGAGTGGGGTGCAAGTCACCCCGCGATCGTTCGCCGCAGAGCGCAACCGTCCGTAGTGACACCACAAAAAATCACGGCGCCGCTTTCCGGCCGGATATCTTTCAATTACACGTTAATATGATAGGCGGCAGGCGTAGCTGCAAGTCACCGCCGCGTCGTTGCTCGCAACGCGCGCACCGCATCACACACGCGCGTACGCGCGCACATACACCCACGCTCGCGCACGCACACGTCCGCGCGACGCATACGCGATCGAGAGGCCCCGATGTGCGTGTACGCGCGTGATTAATCGACGTCAACCGCAGACCACGGCGCGAACCTCGTCGAGGGAATCGCCCGGCGTTTCGTTGACACGTCGATTCGCGGTTTACTCGCGCCGAAATACCCGCCGCGCCACGCCGCGCCGCGCGGGGCGAAATTTATGCGTCGGACACGCGCGAAGATCGGCCAGCGCGAAATGTTTGTGTTGCGCGAAGCGGTTAAACGTGGTTGCAACATTACCGTGCCACGTTGTAGCCTAATCGCGCGTTTTGGTAGTCGGCCAACTCCTCCGGGGTTCCATGTCGGAGTGTTTTTTCAATCGTGATATCATAGGGTTGCACGCACAAAGTGAAACCTACGCACATGATCTTGGCAGCCGCGAGTGCCGACTTAATTTTATGACGACCGCGTAACGGGGCTAAGAAAACTAACAGATTTCGGAAAGAGAGAGAAAAAGAGGGGGGGGGGAGAAAGAGGGAGAAATGTAAACTCATTTTTACATCCTGATTGCATCGGCCGGATAACTAGTGATAAAAGGTAAAGATCGCACGTTTTGTTTGCGAATATGTGTAACCATTCCAATACAGAACAAAGCACCTGATATCGCGAACGATAATTTGCGAGAGCATTCGACGTTTCTCCCTCTCGAGTTCACCGGCTGTCGTTTCCCATAGAAAACGCCGTAAGATGGGAAAACGTCTTCGCGAAGGGGAAAAACTCGTCACCATCGATAAACATTTGCCGCTCGTTACTCTTACTCGGAAGTCAGAGTAATTAAGCGGCGAAATTGTACAACGCGGAAAATGAATTATTCATTATCAAGTTTTATCTCCGAACTTTCCGTCCGGCATCAGTATCAATCATAAATCAATTCTTCGCAAATTGATAAATTTTATGACAATGTAAAGAATCACTTTTTATCGAATTGTTAAACACACAATAT